GCCAAAGCCAAGTATTTGGGCAAGTTTTAGTTATTGTATGCTGTTATTACTGCTACTGCTACTGCTGTTGCTACTGCTTCTGCTGTTGCTGACAGTGTTGACAACAAGGCGAAGCGACAATATCAGTTATTGAAAGTTTGCTTCGTTTTTTTTCTCTCTCGGTTTACTGCTCAGTTGCTTGCTGTTGACAGCCTTTGGGCAGCAAAGTTTTGGTCAGAGCACAGCAACAACAGTTGCCGGGTTAAAGCTCTAGTTTTCGGCAAAAGTTTGTTGCAATTCGAAAGCTTTGTTGACTGCAAGAACCCGGCTGAAAGCGAAAGACGCGAATAAGCCATGCTTCAGCTGACCCTAACCCATAAGAAATGTGGCAACAATCTAAATTAGAGGCATGTAAGCTCGGTCGTTGCAATTAAAGGTAGTGAGAAGTGGCAACAACATGAATGATGCTTGGCAGGTTATGCTCTGACTTGAGGCTGACTCTTACGCATTGGACTTTTTTGCGACTTAATCAAGGCATCCTAAAGATCTAGTGAAGGGCGACAACAGTGTTGGCGGCGCTGTTGCCGCACTTCTCTGGCCACTTTACGCAAGTCCCTTCATAAAATGCAATAGTTAAATATGGCAACAGTGTCAGCTGCACCGAATGTGTCGTCTCTTTCGGTGCTGTTGTCGCACTTCCTTGAAATGTGGCAACACTGTGATGAAATAGAATAGTTAAATGTTTCAACAGTGTAACGCAATGTGAAGACTTCCGGCACTGTTGTCGCCTTTCAGTGAAATGTGGCAACACACTCTGTAAATGCCTAAGAAAAAAACGCTCTGCAGCATTTCTTTAACGGGAACTGGCTTGAAAACACGAAAGTTTAACAACAACGGAATGTTTTTCGGGCGATGGAATGCACTTTGGCTCACAAAAGCTATGTTTCATGCTGCAGACTGTACGTCTTTGAGCCGCTTGTCGAGCGCGGTTGCCGCACTTCACAGAGCAGGACGCGCGACGCCATTTTGAATGCGCTGTACGTTGAAAAACAAAGGGGCTGCGACTTTTTATCTGTTTATCTGCCGCACTTGAGTTTGTCAAAAGCAATTGTTTGACTTGGCTCGCAGACGCAGGCTGGCCAGCTGGAACAAAGAAGGAACATCAAGCGCAACTGACCAAAGAGAAAGGTCGCTGGTGCAAGGGTTTTGGCTCTACGACAACAACAACAACGAGAACAAGAACAACGTGCACACATTTTGAGGGCATTTGCTGCGCATCGCTGACCACAAATAACCAAGCTGTGTTTATTTCCGTGCCCCATTCTGTGGTACACACAACATCGTGCAGCATTTCATGAATTTGCCGTTTGCCCTTTTGGCCCCAAACGCGTCAGCAACTGCTGCTCCGGCTGATGCTGCCCCCTAGACCCTAGACGCAGTCTGTTGCGTTCGTTGGGACATTGAGTTATGTTCTGGCAGCTCGTGTGTGCCCCAAGGAAATGCAACTCCAGCAGCAGTCGTGGCATGTGCGTAATGACAAATACTCGAGCGAAGCAAGTGGATGGATGCGCCGTGCCCCGCCCCGTCAACTGCCCCCAACTGACCCATTGTGTAATTGCATACGGCATTTTGATCCCTACAATAGCTGCTAAATTTACAGGCTTGCTGATATTTACATCTGACGCATTGAAGTCGAAGAAGAAAAAGAAGTTGCAGCAAAATTAAGAGGCGCTTACAATAGCCGCAACTGGGAAGCGTAGCCTGCAGATGGAACTTATAAGTGGAAATTGAAGGGGACAAGTGAAACTTAACAGGTGTAAATGGGAATACTTGAAGGTGGAAACAAAAAGGTGGTCTTTTAGCAGTGGAGCATGGAGGTGGAATTTGTAGAGGGATCTTAGAGATTTTAGAGATGGAATTTAGAAGTGGAAACTTAAAAAAGGAAATACTTGACGGTGGAATTTGAGTGGATCTGCGAGGTGAACCTTAGAAGTGAAACCTGAAGGTTGAATTCGTAGATGGAACTTCGTGAAAGACATGAAATTGGAAATGGAACGTGGAAGTGAAGCGTAAAACTTTCAAATTACCGATTATCATGGACAAACAGGAGAAATTCCCTATAAAACAGCAACATGTGAAATGTGGCAACAGTGTAATAAATAAATTTTCCACTATTATTATCAATACATTTTCTAAATATAACTCTCTGCGATGGCCCTTGGCTAAGACAGTAGCACATCCTTGCAATAAACTGCCCGAGTTCTTGTCAGCTTGACAACTCATCTAACGAGGAGTGCAACATGTGAAATTTGGCAACGCTGCAACTTTGCTGGCAGGTGAAATGTGTCAACGTCGCCGTCTTATAAGCTGACAAATGTACTGCAAATGCCAGAAACGAAAAGCTGTTGAACTCTTCAGACCAGCAAGAGTCATAATCATCAGAATTATCAACATTTCCACTATCATCATTATAATTATCATCGTTATCAGCAGGCGTTATCAGAGCTGCAACTGCTGGCAGCTGGCAGCTGGCAAATGGCCAGCTGGTCGAATGGCTCAGCCTGGGAATTAGGTGCGAGTGTGCGAAATTGGATAAGCCGTGACATTACCAACCCAATCCCTGGTCCGTCTACCCCGCCCGCTGCCCGCTCCCAGCTACTAGCTCCTAGCTCCTTGCTCCTAATCATGCCACTTGATTGCTAAGCAGCATTATGCCATTTATTGCCACAACAAGCTGCACGAAAGGATCGCAGGATTGCAGCGCTGCCAGGCAAAGTTCTCAGTCCTTGGCAAAGTTTGCGCTCGCTTCACTCAGTCCGTCTCATCCCATCTACTCTCCCCTCCTCTCTCCCCTCTCTCTCTCTCTCTCTCTCTCTCTCTCTCTCTCTGTCGGTCCTGGCCTTTTCTCTGCTCTCATTCGCATTCATGGAGCTGCACACAATATGCTAAACACTTTGCCGCTTCCAGCAGCAGCAGCAGCCAATGCAATCATAATTTTAACTACTTTAGTTTTATGCTTGCCATACCCACGCCCGAGCCCGCCCCTCGCTGTGCACCCTTTACACACGCTCCTGCACTTAGTTCTATTATCGCAGCGTTTTGTTTGGCCTTCTTTCTGCTTCTTTCTGCTAATTTCGCGCGTCCACACTGAAAAGCAATGGGTAAAATGCTTGCGAAAACTTGTGCAAAAAAGGCGAAATGAAAATGAAAATGAAAATATAAATTGGCTTTGTGGTGTGCGTGTGTGCGTGTGTGTGTGCACACTGTACAAAATTACGAGCAAAGCGCCTTTAAAGATAATACCCAGGCAAAAAAAAAACACACACACACACACAAGAGTGTTCTAGTCGGGCGTGCCTGACTGGGAAACACCCTGCACTCAGTACGAATTAAAATTAGTAAAGTTAATAGAAATTCCAGTTTATAAGTTGATCTTATGTTTTTATCTCATCAGATATTTACCAAAATATTTATTTAATAATATACAAAGTAAACAACAATTAAAATTAGTTCAATTAATAGCAAAGGACGAGCTATAAGTCAAGATAAAACTTGGTCAATTGAGTAAAGTTGAATTTCTCGGAGTTGTGACATGACAGGATCAACTCAGCTGGGCTCGCCCTTGGCCTGTCGCAGAGCTTTGCACAAAACCTTAATACCCTTTTTACAGTTTTTCAATAGGGTCAGAGCAAAAAAATAAAAGGAAGCAAAAGTGGGAAAAACTTTTGCAAATGGCATCGATAAATGCAGCTAAAATCGATTTTAAAGACAATTTTTGCAATTTCTGGCCAACAGCTGCACAAGCCAAGGGAATTTAAACAGAAACGAGATAGAGATATATCTGTGCGCGAGAGAGAGAGAGGGAGAGGGAGAGGGGGAGAGAGCAGACAGGCAGCAGCATAATTCAATTTGCCTGGCCAGCGCTCTTTGTGGCTTCATTAGCGCCTTTAAGGGCCGGGACTAAAAGGCTGCCGTCCACCAGAATGCCACCCCAAAAACGCTGCCGAGCAAGTCCGCAACCAAATCCAAAACCGAAACCGAATCCAAACCAAACGTTGGCCTGGCCTGTCCAAATGCACAGCCAGCGCCAAAGGCGCAGCCAAAGCCAAAGGATCTCGACGCAATCAAGGCAAATGGATTTTAATTAATTTTGCCGGTCTGCACAATTTTTAATTAAGAAACTTGAAACGTCACTCGATGCATTTAGCCAAATGCAGCTGCAACGGCAACTGCAGCCTGCAACTGCAAAATTCTGAAACAAAAGCCCAGCTGCAGGGCATCTTCTCTGTGCATTATCCCCAAATGCCTTTGCCAGCGCTGGTTAGTCTCTTATTTGGCCCTTTCGCATGTGCTCGACATACGGCTGGACAAATACTCCATTGTTCTTATGTACTCCAATAAGTGTCCATTGTAACTAGGTGGCAACGCTCAGCAGGACGCCAGTGTTGGGCAATGATGCACGGAAATTCGGTTAATAACAAAGCTACTATACATCTTTTGTTCCTGCAAATGAAAACTGTCACTGGATCAAATAGGATAAAATTAAATAAGATGGGATGTGATGAGATGAGGTGAAGTGAGCTGAGATAAGGTGAGATAAGATGAGAAGCGATCGGAGATAAGTAAGGATAAGATAAGAGAAATGAAAAGAAGTTAAGAAAACAGAAAAGAGGAGAAGGGAGGAGAAAAGAAATGTCAAAAAAAAAGAGAAGAAGAAACAAAAAGAAAAGAATAGAAAAGAGAAGCGAGGAGAAGAGAGCACGACATGATATATTAGATAAGATAACGTGGGATAAAATGAGATAAGTTAAGATAAGGTTGACTTAAGTCAATTATCATGAGATATGCTATAAGAGCTAAAGAACAAAATAGAAGATGGAAGACCTTAAATACAAGGTAAGATAAGTTCAACTTGCTGCAACTTTATGGATACTTTTCAAAAGTTCGCTTTAGAGAAGTTTGACTGTATTTGACTTCAGAGTTTAACGCGATGTTTCGCTTTTGTCTTTTGGAAATTTCAGTGCTGGACTGCCAGGTGGGCGATTGGGGGGCGTGGAGCGAATGCGACAAGAGCTGCGGAGCTGGAATGATGACGCGGACGCGCCAAATCCTGCAGCCGGTCCAAAACGGCGGCAAGCACTGCCCCTCGCTGCTCCAGAAGCGCGCCTGCCAGGGCTATCGCTGTCACGGCCATCGCGATAAGAAGATTTTGCGCGGTAAGTCCAACACAAACACACACGCACACACACGCACACACACCTACACACACTCGCACATAATGCAGCTCAATGTAGGGCGCCTATCCGCCCACCTTTACACTTGTAACTGTATCTGTAAATGCGTGTGTGCCGCTTTTATTGAAATGCACTTTTAATAAAAAAAAATATCTGACCAGACACTGTCCGCTTACCTCAACCCAAACACCGCGCGACAGGTGAGAACAGCTGAGTCGGCCATTGTTGCAGTTGAGCCCTGCACCTGTTCCTGACCCTGTTCCTGGCCCTTTTCTTTAATTAAATTGGCGAACTGTCAGCCAAATCCCCAACTGGAAAGCACGACGAAGACTTCGCAGGATCCATTCCATCGATCTGCCAGATAAGTTATATTATGTATATTGATTCCATTATTGGAGATTAGAACAAGAGTATTAACAAAATAAGCTAATAAGAAGAAGTGGCAGCAATATTCGCTGTATTCAAATGCCAGAAAATATCTATATCTATATATATATCTATTTATGCTTGTTTAGAGATCAAAAATGTGCATTAACATGCATCTGGCAGCCCAGTTTAAGCCTTGTCACGGGGCTTATTCCATATTCCATTTACCATTTACCATTTACCATTCTCCATAGCACATTTGTTAAGAATGTTGATATGTTGATCCACTTAGCAAGCACTTGGCTCTCTTTGTTAGCGTCCCTGCATATGCAGCGTAAATATTTTACACCCATTGTAATACCACGTGCGCCAGAGCAAACCCTATAGGGTAGTTTCTCCCTTTAATAACATTCTTCATATTCCATTTTAACTTAACCTTAATAAATTTCTGAGATCTGTTTTAAGACGCCGTCAATCTAAAAGTGCGCTTTGAAATGTTTCTCATTTGAGAATTTCTTGACACCTTGAGTTCTTGCAACCTTATGGGATAGCTTCAATGGAGGGGCTTCTCCCTTGAACGACATTCTTTTAGTCATCCTACATTCCTTTTACTCACATTTAATACATTTTTCAGACCTGTTTTAAAACGCCTTCCATCTAAGAGACCGCTTTGAAATGTTTCTAATAGTGCCCTTGCATAGCGACGTTCTTTGGTAGGGCATCTCCTAGTCGGACACTCTCGACTAGAGCTCTCCTCCTCTCTTACGTGTTCTAATTATTTTATATACTCTTTAAACCTTACATCTTTTTGCTACGCGTTTCATATTCCTTTAAAGCCTATCTCTGAGTAGCCTGTTTAAAACCGCTTCGAAACCTCTTTCAGGCATGTTTAAACCCCCTTGAAACTTGCCTAAAATCCCTTTGAACAACTCTTTGGAACAAGTTCAAACCCCTTTGAAACCTGCCTAAAACCCGTGAAAAGCCTTTGAAACTTGCCTAAAATCTATTCGACTAAAACCCCATTAAAACTTGTTCAAATCCACTTTGAAACCTGCCTAAAAGCCCCTTGAAAACCCTTTGAAACTTCTTTAAAACCCCTTTTACACATGTTGAAACCCTCTTTGAAACATGTTAAAAAGAAACCCCTTAAAATGTCTTTGAAACCCGCCTAAAATCTCTTTCAAACCTGTTTCAAACCTCTTCGAAACCTGTTTTATATCTGTTTAGGACTTCTTTAAAACCTCCTTAAAACATTTGAAAGTTCAAAGAAAACGCTCTTCCATCTGCAATAAACCACTTAGTATAAAGAAAGCATCCAATTTCTTAGAGGCGCATGGCTCGAGGGTATTTGAACGTCGCGCCCGCACAGGCATTGAAATTGCATTGACAGAACTTGCGATGCAAAAAGCTTTTTCACCTAAACGCCCGGCAAAATGTGGAGCAAGCTAAGTCACTTGACGGAGGATGGGGTGGTGAAGGGAGAGGGGGGAGGGTCCACTGATGCTGATGCACTTGTACTTGGGCCGCAGGGCGCGGGGGCATCTTTCCGGCAGATGCATCTGTCAGCTTTCGCTTGGTGAAGCTGAAGCTGAAACTTTTTTCGCCACTTTTTTTTTTCGTCCTTTTTTTTTTTTTGTTGAATGCCGCTCAGGACAGAGAAAAACTGACAGCGTTAAAAGCGCCCAGCTGCATAAGAAGTCGACGCACGTGAAAGAACGTAAGTTCCAGTATCTGCCTGGCCCTCCCCCCTCCCGCCCCCTCGCGCTGCCCTTTGGCCTGGCATGCAGAGCCAAAGCAATTTTCTGCAAGTGGCTGACATAAAAGCCATATTATATTTGGCTAAGTGTCGCCGCCGGCACACACACACACACACACACGCCCACGCTCACGCCCCAATCCCAGGCCAGAAGAAGTGCAGCAAACAAAATACTACAAAAAAAAAAAAAACCGAGAAGAAGAAGAAGCTGCAGTGGCAAAAAAAAAAAACTATTAAAAATCGCAGCACAAGTTTTTGTTTATGTTTTGGGTCGCCTGCGCTCCATTAGCCTCGGACGTGCCTGTCGCAAAGGCTTCACTTGCAGGCTGACCCTCCCCCCCCCCTCACCCGCTCCTTCATCGCCTGCCCGCTTCCTGTTGCCCCTCTTTGGATTTAGTTGTCGTTGTTGTGGTTTAGCCATCCGCTGTCCGCTCTTTAAGCGTTTAATTAAAACTTTGATTGCAGCCATTAAAAAATTGCTTAACTGTATGCATAAAGAGCACACACAGCACCAGTTCCACATGTCACAAGCATCAATGGAGCTGAGTGTGTGTGTGTGTGTGTGTGTGTGTGTGTGTGTGTGTGTGGGTGGGTGGGTATGTGAAAGCACAAAGGACAAAATTAACGACAGCTTAGCCACTAAAGCACACAGCATAAAAATGTCACAACTATATTAAGAATAGAAAAAGCTTTTAAATCACATTAAAGCTTTTTTAAGATATAAGAAAGTGCTCTCAAAGCATATTAAAGCTGTATTGACAAGCTAAAAAGAACTTTGAAAGCAGCTTAAAGCTTTATTGATGAAAAAGAAGCTTTCAACGCGTATTTAAGCTGCATAGACAAGCTAAAAAGAACTTTGAAAGCAGCTTAAAGCTTTATAGCCCAAGAAAAGGAAGCTTTCAAAGCGCACGAAAGCTTTAAGCGAGCCTTATTGAAGACAATGCAGTGTGTCGGAGCCCACGCTCTACACCCTGTTTACATAAACTTGTCTTCTGTTTGAAATGTGGGCGAAACGTTGCAGCATTGACATAAATTTAAATAAATGTGCGGTCAATTATGGACGCCCCACAACAGCTACAAATGCCTAGGGGTGCACTAAATCAGGCGCTTGAGCTTTAACAAACATATCACAAGTGTTTCAGAAGCCCTGAAGAGAAGATTGGGCAAACGTATCTTCAAACTTATCTATAAAAAAATAAAGTATTGCATAGCTGCAAGTATAGTATACGGGCTTGCTGCAAAATTTCGTCTTGCGAAAATCATGTGAACTGCCGATTTGTAAGAAGATCTCAGATTGCCCAGAGTTGGGGACATTATAACTATATACAGGCGGCGAATTGTGTTGCGCGGCTTTGGAATTATCCAGATCGTTTGGCTAGGCATAATTCGATTGAGACTTAGAATTGGAGAAGTCCGAATGCGAAGGAGATTGCGGAGATTTCATCGAAACGATTTTGCAGTTCCTTGTACATTTTCATGTTAGGCTTAACAGTAGAATAGATTGCATTGTCAATATGCACATAAGTTAAATTAAAGATGTTGAAAAGAAGTTGAAAAAAAAGCAAACAAAACGTATGAAAAAAAAGTCAACCCAAGTATGGGTTAGTAATTAATACAGGATATTGCGGACACGCTGAAAAGTAGGCAACACTTTTGCGCTGTGCCAAGAGCAAAGAATCAATATGTAAGTGGTAATTAAAATAAAAGCACACACACACACACACACGCACACGTGTGTGAATTAAATGCTTTTAATACAGTTTTAAGCTGTTTATAGTGTTAAGCATGTGTGTGTTTGCCTGTGTGTGTGTGTGTGCCTGTGTGTGTGTGTGTGTCTTGTTTATCTTGCAAATTGCTGTCAGCTATCGGCGGGCAAACTCTTTGGCTTTAGCCGGTTGCCAGCGTCACAGGCAATTACAGAGCATTAAAATGTCGATTAGAGCTGCACAGGCTCACAGCCAGACAGAGACAGCAACAGTGACAGAGACAGACACTAAGCGAGAACGACAGAGAGAGAGAGAGAGAGAGAGCGCGAGAGGGAGACAGCAGCTGGCAGCAAAGGATTGCGCAGCTGGGCTATTGAGGTCAAACATGACTGCAAATTCGCAATTTAAGCGCGGAAAAATCAAATGAAAAATAAGGCAAAAGCAGCGCGAACAGGCAAGACTGCGCCAGCCGGGAGTGAACGACTAGAAAATACCCTCGACCCAACCAAAATATACAGTATACACATATATAAATATCCTGCATCTATGTACACCTAACGACCCCTCCAAAGCGTCGATAAATGCGCAGAAACAAGATTGCGATACACACATTTATCGATAACAACACAAAGGATGGCAAGTTATCGATGCTTGTAATCAAACTTGATCTGAGCTGAGAAACCTGCAGCTCATCGAATGCCCCAGACAGCTGACGTGCACCATTATACCCGCTTAGCGATTACTAATGGCTACAGGGTATCGAATGCAAATGCAGCAGCGAAAAAATGCGTAGCAGGATCAAAGCAAATGGCAAAATTAATAAAGGAAACTGCACAAATGCCAAGCGGAAATTGCGAAGCAGAGCGCGTGACGAGCTCCCAGCTGTTGCATATTGCTGCAACAGCAACAAAAGCAACAACAACAATAACAACAGCAACAAAAGTAACTCCCATAAATACGTGCAATTTGTGTTAGGTAATTGGCCAGGCCGCAAATTCAATTTACGTCAACGCAGACTCAGGCCAAGACACAAGCGAAGACGACGACAGACTGAGAGCGAGAGGCGGGGCGTCGTTAAGTATGCTATTAAAAATTGTGTAATGCCAAGTTAATTGCTAACAAACGAGCGCCAACTAAGTGCATGTGTGTGTGTAAGTGTGTGACAGTGTGTGTGTGTGTGTGCGTGTGTGTGTGTGCGAAGTTTGCGGCTGTGCGCCTTTTTTTGGCATGTGTGTAATAATTAAGGTAAACAAACGCGCCCGCCCACGCCCACGCCCACACACACATGCACACACACACACACAAACACATGCCACTCATGGCACACACACACACACACCCACGCCCCTTTTGAGTTATTTGGGGTGGGCGTGACACAATGCCCAGTGCCACTTACAGGTGAGAAATGCTCTGAATTTTGTTACTTACACTGAGCGACATCTATCGGTGAGTAGCTGGCAACAAGAAGAGCGTATCAAGTGCAAGCGTTTTCATGTTTATCTAGAAATAATAAAAGGCGTCAAAAAATGTCTCAAATGACATTTAAGAAAGATCTTAAAAGGCGGTTTTTCTTTAATCTTTCGAATTCACCAAAATAGGTGAAATGCGTATTTTTCACTTCCCTCTCACTAGATTCCCTTCTCTTTTGCACAACCAGAAAACATTAGTCTTATGCATTAACACAAAGATTCTTTAAAGTCTAAAGGCAGTCTGTAAAAGAGAAAACAAACTACATATTTTTCCACCCCTTTTCCACTTCACTTTCACTTTCAGCACCAAAGGTGTACAAATTTGAGTTTTTTACAACTGAAGCTGTACATTGATCATCAATCAGTCAATCATCAGTCAGTCTGGCCAAAATAATGAGCTGCTGCGACATTTCTTACAGTGTGGCAACTACGTGCGCACACTTTTGGCGCTGACTGTCGTCGTCATCATCATCCGCGTTGTCGCCGCCATCGGCAGCCACAATAATGCGCAGTGCTCATTAACGTTATAAAAATAATTGCTGAACACTCACATTCACTCATTCGCTGCCACACGTTCATTCACAACGGCATGTGAATTACGGGCCATGTGCTAAATTCCAATTAACTTGCTTCAATGTGGACGTGAGTGTGCTCGTGTGTGTGTGGCTGTGTGTGTGTGTGTGTGGGTGTGCCTGGCCCAAGTTGGTAATCGTCCAAGATGAAAAACGTAAAACAAACTGGGCGTCGGGTGACGGGGGGCGTGCCACAACAATATGGCATTTGATTATGCAAATTTATGTGCATATGTGTGTGTGTGTGTCTCTGTGTGTGTGTGTGTGTGTGTGTGTGTGTCTGTGGCACTTGACTTGTTCAATTTGCATAAGTTGTGAGGCTGCTGACGCCCAAAATTATGCAATACATATGTGCAGGACAGCAACCGCTTAGTCACGCTCTCCTCTCTCTCTCTCTCTCTCTCTCTCTATCTCTTTCTCTCTCTCTCTCTCTCTCTCTCTCTCTATCTATCTCTCTCGTTCTTTTTATCTCTAACCCTTCACATTAACTCAAAAATTGCTTTAAGCTTGGACCATCATCATTTGTTTACCACAACAACTTAAAAGCCTGACAATTAATTTGCCGTGTAACGTGCTAGCCCACGCACTCACTCTCCCTCTTCCTTTCTCCCACTTTCTCCACTCTCTCTCTCTCTCCAACTCCCTGCTGCCCTTTTAAGATGTATCAGTACAGAGTTAAAAGTAAGAAGCTGTAGTATAACAGAAACGAGCTTGATCTCTCTCTATCATACACTTCTCTCACTCTCTCTCTCTCTCTCTTTTCTGTTCTTGCCCTTCTTGATCAATTAATTAAAGAGCCTATCTATCTATCTATCTTTCGACTAGAAGATACCCTCTCAAAGATCATTATTTCAAGTCACAGTAAAATATTCTTCATCTGGAGATTCGGTGACTTTTATAATCTGCCTTAAACAAGATTTTGATAGATGTTCTCTGGGAATGATATACCGCTTTGGACTCGCAATATGCTTCCCTATCCTATTCCATACACTTTCTATACTTTCTATTAGCCAACTCCAGTGGATGCAGGGTAGTGCACAAGGGAGGGGCTAAAGGGACTAAGTACTTGGTCTTCGTTTGTCTGTGCCGAGGCACGCTTCGCAATGGCATCCACAGCTGGGCCAGGCTTACATGGCACAGGTTCTTTCTTTGTACGCGTTGGCAACACTTTTCACGAGTCACGTGAATGGCACATATGGCCACCTGCCCACGCCTCCCTCTGGTCCCTTTTGGTTGGGTGTCAGTTACAGGATTTGCTTTTGGCGCTGTCGATTCCAGTTTTTCTGGGCAATAGTCAAAAGTCAGCATGTTGCATGAAGGGGGGCGTACCCACGTTGGGCGCCAAGCAGCTTTTGGGCGCTGTTGCCGTTTGTTGTTTGCCGTCGCTTGTTGTTCCTGTTCGCTGGCGTTGCCACCTCCTCTGTTTTTTTCTTTCTTTGCTTTTTTTTTTTTTATTCCAGTGTTGTCTAATGGCATGTTTTGATTTCGCTCTCAGCTACGCAAACATCAAGCGAAGCCAGTCAAAGCAAAGCGAAAGCAAGCGAAACGTGTGGCATAACCTCAGGCACTCAGGCACGCATTTTCCCCCAGCACACACACACCCCCAGCACACACACACCCCCAGCACACACACACACTCGCACACAATCTCGTTGACGAAATTACAGCCAGCTCTTCCGGCTAGAGTCACGGCATTTACCCGTCCAACACGTGACTTGGCAAAACAAATTGATTTTTACGTGGCTTTTTTGAGCTGAGTTGCCTTTTCCCTCTAAGTTGCCTTCTTGGATTTTCTTTTTAAGAAACGTTTCTTCTTGTTTCTTTCAGAGATGGCCCTGCTGCTGCCCGCCGCCCTCTCCCGCAGCCATCATGCGAACAACAGCAGCGACCTACACCGCAATTTGCGCACGCGCTACCGCGACTCCTACAAGCACAATCGGGATCATGAGTAAGTAGACGCTACACAACACTATTTGAATCGTTTGATGGTTCTAAACTGTGCAGAAGGAAAAACCCAGGTAAGGCATTATGTTTAGGCTATCTCACTTCAGGTCTTTTACGACAATTTTGCGGATGCGGTAATAAGTTTAAGATATCTCTTTCCTTGTCGCTCCTTATGTTTAGAGTGTAACTAGCCGTACTTTAGATTGTTGCCCCCATCTGAAGTGTATAGAATTTAAAGCCTTAGCATAGTTTAAACTTAAGATATCGAGAAATAGTTTAAGCAAAGGAAGAAACTATACACAGATTCCTAAATATATATAGGAGTACTTAAGAAATTTGTACACACATGTATCTAAGGATTATTTAGAAAACTTAACTTATCTCTTCTAATGTTCTAAGAGAAGTTACTTTCACAGTCTCTTTTTCACTCTTCTCTCTCTTTAGAAAACTTAACTTATCTCTTCTAATGTTCTAAGAGAAGTTACTTTTACAGTACTTAAGATTTTTCTCTTTTTCACTCTTCTGTCTCTTTAGAAAACCTAACTTATCTCTTCTAATGTTCTAAGAGAACTTACTTTCACAGTACTTAAGATTTTTCTCTTTTTCACTCTTCTCTCTCTTTCTACTCTCAGTCTCACGCTCTCTCTCTCTCTATCGCTCTCTTCTTGTTCTCTTGCCTTTCAGCTTAAGATCTGTGAAGATATCTATGCCCAGCGCTTCCATAGATCTAACTATTTGCCATTAAATATCTTAAGATTATTTTACGCTTAAAATTTCAATTCAGGAGCCGAGCGTGAAATGATTTGCACTTGTCTGGACCTTTTTCACGCATGATTTTCTTTAATTTGACTTCTCGATGCTATGCGAAAGGTATGGAAAATCATTCGCCAAAGCCGCTTTTACGACATTAGCGAGAGGTGGAGGGGAAGGAATGGTAAATTTCAGTATTAATCCCAAATTTGTTGCTAGCTGTTGTGTTTTTATGGCGCGCGGCATGCAAACAACAATTTCATGTTGTAATGGGCAGCTGGCAGTGGGGCGAGGGGAGGGAGGGAACGTTGGGAGGGGGCGGGGTCCGTCCAGGAATAACATCAGCATAAGCGCCAGCAATAAAAATCCATCATAAAAGGCGCATAAAAATTGTATAAAATGCCCGCCTTGATTTGACACGCTGTTAATTTTCGTCCTTACGACTATTTCGTTGTTTTCTTTTCCGTTTTTTTCCTCTTTTCTTTTTTTTTCGTTGTTTTCCCCTGTTTTTGTTTGTGACTGGAAAATGTTTATGATTCATTCCATTCGCACGCAGACAGGTTGGCTAGGAATCCTTGACTGCGCCGTGCCCAAGTGTCCTTGATGTCTTCCTTCAATTGTCCGCAAGCCAAACAAAGCATAAGGATAAATAAGTGCATGTATTCTAGGTCTAGTCTGGTCTATATCCAACTTGGAGATACCCTGTACACGGTATATACTATTACTGTCTAACCTGTCAGTCCGTCTATCTGTAGATCTCTCAGTTCTCAAGGACTATCGTCATAATTTGTCTAGACTTGAAGATACCCTGTACAATGTTTAACACACGGTGTATAATATATATGCACCTATTGTCCAACCTATCAATCCGCTTGGCTGTAGATCTCTCACGAATTTCTCTTTCCTTTTAAGTCATATTACCTATATGTCAAACTCGGCCGGATCGGGCTTTTATATAGCTATCATGTCAAGAATTAAGTTCTTGTATGAAAATCTTTTTTGTTTATCAACATTTGTTAACCATTTAGGCATTAACGAGCTATACCATATTTCGCACTACTATATAAAAATTCTCTATAAAAAGAATCAATCGTAGCCTGAGCTTTTGTATGGATAAATGTTCTGTTTATCACGATATAGAATTTCACAATTCTTGTCGTCTTTCTTCTTGCTTTCCCTTCTAATTGCTGTGCTGTGCAACATCAACTTTTAAATACCCTTTAAACTCATTAGAAAAGCGGATAGCATGTTCTGTGCATGTCCTAACCTCAATGTACGACCAAATGCGACGATTTACTGGACCCTGGACTCGGCTCTAGCTCTCTCTCTCTCTCACATGCTCACGCCATACAATTGCGAGTCGCTGATTGCAGAAGCAGCCACTAGAGGGGGGAGGGGAAGGGGGTCCCCTTGCTTCTGCTAATAAGCTAACGGACATCAATCACGTGCCGCATACGCCGCGTTGTACCCCCTGCAATGCGGTGTTTAGCGGTGCGGGGGAGGGGGTGGGGTCAAGCCAAATCGACGACTTTCGCTTGCCTTGCTGCTTTGTTGTTGTTGCGGTTTATTGCTGCTGTTGTTGTTGTTGTAGTTGTTGTTGTTGTTGTTGCGGTTTCTTGTGTCGTCTCTTTTCATTGCTTGCTGCTGCTTCTTCTTCCTACTTAAGTGTTTCGCTGCTCATCAAAAGCCGTTTATTATGCTGCGCTTTGCTTTTGTTGTTTTTTTTTTTTGTTGTTCGCACACAAAATTAAATTAAATCCGCAATTTATTATTTTATGCCTTTTCCATTTACTTTCAATTCAGCTCAAGCTTCATCCATTTAACAGAAAAAATAAAAAAAATAAAATAAAAAAAATAAAATAAAATACAGTTAGAATCGTGTTGGCAACTTTTTGCCTGCAAATTCGATAAATATTAATCGATAACTTTTACTTTTATTTTTAGTTTTCTTTAGCTAAAGTGAAAATTCTTCTGAAATATATGTAAATTTGTACTTTTCTGCAATGCACAGTTAAATTCGATTCAATTTATGATTGTATGAATGCATTCAAAACAGCCCAGTTCAGTTCTTAAATGAATCATTCAGCGAATCATTCATCGAATCAATATTTTGCAGTTCTCATACGTTTCAACTCGATCTTTGGGCACACTTTTCGTACACAGCGTCGATTAAAGGAAAATACAAACAAGTGCTGCCAAATATGCAGACAATATCGATAGAGATTTATCGATAACTTTCACTTTTGCCCAGTTGCAATGAGTCAAAGTGAAAACAAATGGAATTGAGGGTTGTCTAGAATTTAGTTTGGTTTATTTATCGACTGAATAAATATATTCAACTCGATCGCCAATTGATTCATAAGTGAATCTTTCATTCAAAGCTTTCTTTCTGCTACAAGCTTATGAATAACTTATGAATACATTTCCGCGCATCGATAGAATCGAAAGGTACTCGTTGCCGCACACAAATCAATTCAAACTGAATCATAATCAGCCCCGCAACCCGCACTCCACACTGTCCACCTCTGCCCCTGGCCACAATTCACTTGTCCAATGATTTGTTAACTAGCGACAAACTTTTATTGCCTGGACACAAAGGACACAGGACGAAAACACGAATTATGAATTATGCGCTCGAATGCAGAGAAACACAACAGAGGATAGCAGAGGATTGGGGAGGAGAGAAGGCGCGCAGAAAATAAATAAATAAATTACGCAAATAACAAATGGAAAAACAAAAAAAAAAAAAAAAACAAAGAATAAGCAAACAAACAAAATGCTAACAATAACAAAAGAAAAACTTCGCACCACCAAAGCACAAATACCCTTGAGGAACTGTGCTGCAAAAGTGCGATAGATTACTGTTTTCATCAAACATTTAAATACTTATAAGTTTTTAGCACAAAAAGGCTTCAAGAAGTGAACCCGACTCATCGATAAATTTACCCATTTACATGACATCGATATATATCGATATACTGTATTAGGTTTATATCTGGCAGACCTCAAGAAGATTTCACACAACGATCTCAGGAACTAGAAGCGCACCCTACTAGCAAAATCGAGCGTAACTACTCCTCTTCGATAACTTGCTTCGTTGACATGGGATCGATATATATATCGATATACTGTTTTATGAATTCTTATAAGTTTTTATCTAGCAGACCTCAAGAAGATTTCACACAACGATCTCAGGGACAAGAAAAGCGCACGACTTGCACATTTCAGCGAAGATTCTACTCATCGATAACTTGCCTCGTTGACATGAAATCGATATATATCGATAGCCTGTTGTCTGAACATTTCTTGAAGAGGAATCTCTTCCAAAATGTGAGCACTGCAAAGAGTAAGAAGACGACTTGCCATTTCTCATCAAGCACATGGCTATATCGACTTGCTTGTCCCATATAAATATAGATATAGATATGTATGTATATACATTGTCTGCCTTTTGTGCGGCACACACAGCATTAGAAATTGTTGGTACTCTGTGGCAGGGTATACAAATAATAATTCGCCACAATTTCATTTACATAATGACAGTGCGAAGCGATTGCCGTAAAGGAATTACAAAAGCAAACAGAATACACAGGATACAGTCATGCAGGATACGGTATACAGGATACAGACCTTTAGCCTACAGAACCGCCCGCCCTCGCCCCGCCATGAGTTCCCCCCGCCGACCACGCCACTCGGTATTTCACACTTTTTAATGTGATAAATTTACAGGGCAACTGGGAAATCTGCAGTCGACAGACTTTAAATGGGACAAGACCGGCCTACAGGCCAACGACTCCAGCTACAGCTCCAGCAGCTGCCCGGCGAGCTGCAGCTCCTGCTCCTGCTCCTGCTTCAGCTCCTGCTCCTGTTCCCCCGCGTCCTGCTTCCCTGCTGCTGCTTCACCTGAGTTGGGTGCGCAGCAATAAAACGTTTTAAGCAAAAATCCCCATGAGGATTAGCTTGGACCGCATAAATTTGCAGGCAAACAGAGAGCCACACCGAGAAGAGAGGGGGGGTAGGGGGGGTGAGTGAGGGAGAGAGGGTGAGAGGCAAGTTGATTGCTAGCCTTTAAGTCATCTGTGTGCGTGTCTGTAGCTCCTGCTGAAAATTGAAGACAATCGTCCTGCGAATTGACAGATTTTATGATACGCGCGAATACACACACACACACACACACACACACACACACATGCACACTCATTTGCATAGCAGGTGGGGCACACACCTGCCTCTCAGCAGGCAGTTAAATAAAAA